CCCCCTTGCTTATAGACCATGGTTTCAAGTTGATTGGATCATTCGTTTTTCTCGAGTTCTGAAGAGAGGCTGCTTGGTTTCAGTAGATGATTGTGAAATCAAAATTCAGGTAAAATCATGAGACGTAATGGAAACATGTGAAATGGGAAACCTCAATAAGCATTTCAGAGGAAAGCGAACTTGTGAATTCAATTCCTGACATATTTGCTTTAAGCGCTTTCTGAAGACAGACGAAGATTATTATATGTTTATAGTGTTATCAATCTCATTCCACGCTTACATTTCCAATGATGTTAGGAACAAATGAGGGTTGTTAGGTTCAGGCACCAGTTTGCACATGGTCAGGGTTATTGTTAAAGTCCTTATCTTGCATAATTTACTGTAGCTGAAAGATCATAGAACTGTTTCAAAATGCATTAACTTGTTGGGTCTTATTCCAGTAACACGTGATATAGATCGAATATCGTTTCCTATTTGCTGTAAATCACTTGTTAATATCGGGAAAATGGGTCAAATTCAGAGGTATCCAGAAAAGTCTGGATTCAAACTTGCCGCTGCTTGGTATGTGTCGTGACGTCACGTGTGGTTCCGCGAATCCTGGTGAGTTCAGCCCGTCCCAGCATCACACAGTGACGGGCTGAACTCACCAGGATTCGCGGAACCACACGTGACGTCACGACACATACCAAGCAGCGGCAAGTTTGAATCCAGACTTTNCACACACACACACACACACACACACACACACACACACACACACACACACACGCCTGTTTTTAAGCGCGGAGGCAGGAAATGGGAATCCCTCGTAAGTTTTCCTTCCGCTGTTGCTTTCCTCTCAAGGCCTGGAGGCCCCACGGTGAGGTGGGAAAAGCACTTCACCATTTGTCCCCCTCTCCAACCAATCTGCTCCACAGAAAGAGGAGGTGTTTTTAAAACCGTTCTGCTTTTAAGATCAGGCAAATGAAGAGGTTTGCATTTCCCATTTCACCCCTTGGTGTTCCCAGCTTCTTCCACGTAGAGGGGTTGAAGGGCTGAAGACTTGCTTTTTGCCGCTACTTTTAATTGAACTATTCACATCTAACACTGCACTGTGACTTGTATTCATGTACCTGTGATATTCTTGTTTTATTAATATCTTTGCTTTTTAATGTTTCTAATGTGTTTTATGCTCTTAATGTCTTTCATTTTTGTAAAGCACTTTGAATTGACTTGTGTTGAAAAGTGCAGAGAAGAGGAAGGAGGAGATGGTAATTAGAGGGTGCCATTAACAAGATCTTAGCCAGCCTTGCTCTTCCATCTCTTGGCACTCAGAGACAAAATGGGAATCCAACCGAGCAATTTGTTCCCTGCGATTAAGATTCGAGAGACAGCAGAGGTCAGCCAAGTGCCTCTTGCATCAAGGGAGGGGCGAAAGGCTCACTTAAAGATGGTGGAAATTATACCTTACCCTCCCACCAGATGGTATATCAGGTAGAGAAAAGTCAAATCTTGCATATATGACACATGGCAGTTTCATTTTCACCTTTCCAGTAATAACTACAGGGATGTTGGCTTTTTCCCGTGCCCTTTTTGCCCGAATTAAAAAAACCTTTTTCCATCTCTCACCGTATTATTTTTCCTTTTGCCTCGCACTCGTCCATTATAGATGCACTCACTGGAGATAAGGTCATATGGTCACATGTAGTGATGATGATACTTGATCCATGCAAGCCGATTCCACTCAGTGTAATTCGCTCTGGAAACTTAATTCAGCTAAGTTAAGCAAATACAAAGGACAAAAGTTCTAACCATATGGTTTGCTTTGCTTTGGGGTAATATGCATTTTTTAATTTTAGGGCT